CTTTTATCAAATTACTTACACATTTTCTTAAAAACTTACACATTTTCTAAAACATTACACCTTTTGTGAAAAATTTTCTTTCACAAAATTTTATGAAAGAAAAATTTCACAAAAGGTGTAACTTTTGAGAAAAGATGTAAGTATTTTCATGAAAATGTGTAAGTTTTCAAAAAACATGTAAGTTTTAATCAAATGTGTAAATTTTATGAAAGAAAATTTTTCACAAAAGGTGTAACTTGTTTCACAAAAGATGTAAGTTATTTCACAAAAAGTGTAAGTTTCATTTTAATAAAAGGTGTAAGTTCCAATAAAATGTGTAAATTTTAAGAAAAAATTATTTCACAAAAAGAGTAACTTTTTAGAAAAAGGTATAAGTATTTTCATGAAAATGTGTAAGTTTTCAAAAAATGTGTAAGTTTTAGTAAAATGTGTAAATTTTATGAAAGAAATTATTTCACAAAATGTGTAACTTTTCAGAAATAGTGTAAGTTTTTTCACAAAAATGTAAGTAACTTGACAAAAGGTGTAAGTTTCGTTTTCACAAAAGGTGTAAGTTCTAACAAAAGTGTAAATTTTAGAGAAAAAAAAATATTTCACAAAAGGTATAACTTTGACAAAAGGTGTAAGTATTTTCACGAAAATGTATAAGTTTTCAGAAAACGTGTAAGTTTTAATAAAAGGTGTAAATTTTATGAAAGAAACATTTTCACAAACAGTGTACTTTTCAGAAAAGGTGTAACTTGTTTCACAAAATATGTAAGTTATTTCACAAAAGGTGTAACTTTCGTTTTCACAAAAGGTGTAAGTTCTAATAAAATGTGTAAATTTTATAAAAAAAAAACTAATTCACAAAAGGAGTAACTTTTCAGAAAAAGATATAAGTATTTTCACAAAAAGGTATAAGTTTTAGCAAAAGATATAAATTTTATGAAATAAATTATTTCACAAAAGGTGTAACTTTTCAGAAATGATGTAAGTTTTTTCACAAAAGATGTAAGTAATTTCACAAAAGGTGTAAGTTTCGTTTTCACAAAGGTATATCTTTTCAGAAAATGTGTAAATATTTTCACGACAAGGTGTAAGTTTTCAAAAAATGTGTAAGTTTTAACAAAATGTGTAAATTTTTAAAAAATGTGTAAGGTTTAACAAAATGTGTAAATTTTGTGAAAGAAATTATTTCACAAAAAGTGTTACTTTTCAGAACTAGTATAAGTTTTTCACAAAAGGTGTAAGGAATATGTGTAAGTTGTCAAAAGTTACACCTTTTGTAATTAATTTCACAAAAGAAGTAAGTGTTTACAAAAGGTGTAAGTAATTTCACAAAAAAACGCAAGTTGTCAAAAAATGTGCAAGTAATTTCACAAAAAGTGTAAATTTTCAGAAAATGTGTAAGTAATTTCACAAAAAAGCGTAAGTTGTTAAAAAAGGTGTAAGTAATTTCACAAAAAAACGTAAGTTTTCAGAAAATGCATAAGTTTTCAGAAAAGGTAAAAGTTTTCTTGAAATTACTTACTCTTTTTTCTGAAATTACTTATACCTTTTGTGAAAACTTACGCTTTTTGTGAAAACTTATGCCTTCTTGTAAAATTATTAATATATTATTTTGTTATATTATTTTATTAATTTACCTGGAAAGTGACACACTTAACAGGTCACCAATATGTAAATTTTCTAAAAATTTGATATGATCCAATACATAAAAGGTATAAATACAAAATAGAAAGAATATAAGTGCTTACTCTTTTTTCTGAAATTACTTATACCTTTTGTGAAAACTTACGCTTTTTGTGAAAACTTATGCCTTCTTGTAAAATTATTAATATATTATTTTGTTATATTATTTTATTAATTTACCTGGAAAGTGGCACACTTAACAGGTCACCAATATGTAAATTTTCAAAAAATTTGATATGATCCAATACATAAAAGGTATAAATACAAAATAGAAAGAATATAAGTACCTTACATACCATATGCAAGACCCACCTAAAAAAAATCCTTAATTTCTATGTATTACTAGCGCTCAATTTGCAAAATTGATTCCGTGATCCTTTTACTTTTTGGCAGAGTTGGTTTGGATAGCATGAATGTTAATGTGATTTTTTATTTTTATTTTAAAATTTTTATAATGGAGTATCCAAATTAATTTATGCCTACCTTAATTAATTTCGAAACTCATGCAAAGTTCTCTCTCCATGTGAATTGGACAAATCTCGGACAAAATTCGCGGCCGTGGCTCTAAGAAACACATTGTTTTTAATAGGAACTAGCCTATCACATGTGCTATGTACAGGATAATTATAGATATTTTCATTTGTTTTAGATTTTTTTCAATAAATAAATTATGTTTTTTAAATTTTTTTTATAAAAAATAATTTAATAATCTTATCACTAATCATAATATATGAGAGAAATTGAAAAGAGTACTGCAATAACTATGCATGAGTTGTATCTATAATTATTTATAGGAAGGGATTTTAAATTCTGATCAGGGAAATTTGACCAAATCAATAAATACAGGCATGTGAAAAGACATATGAATTGAAAAAAAATTAATAAATGCTGATCAGGAGATTTTGACCAAATCAATAACATAATATATGAGAGAAATTGAAAAGAGTACTGCAATAACTATGCATGAGTTGTATCTATAATTATTTATAGGAAGGGATTTTAAATTCTGATCAGGGAAATTTGACCAAATCAATAAATACAGGCATGTGAAAAGACATGTGGATTGAAAAAAAATTAATAAATGTTAATCAGGAGATTTTGACCAAATCAATAAATGTTGAGATTTTTTTTTTATAAATAAAAAATTTTAAAAATTCAAATTGAAATATTAAAGTTCCACAGAATTTGGGGGTTAGAATTCCCTTTTTCCTTAATATATATATAGATTAAACCAAAGGCCTAAAAAGAATATACTTTTAAATCTCAAGCTACACTCACTGAGCCTATCTTTATTCTGTTATTACGCCTTTTTTTAAACAACAGTCACAAAAAGATGAATTTTGTTAATTTTTTTAAACAGTTATCAACTAAATTACGCCTTTTTTTAAACAACAGTCACAAAAAGATGAATTTTGTTAATTTTTTTAAACAGTTATCAACTAAAAAAGTCATAATCAAACAGGTTAATTATTATTTATTTAGATGATAAAAAAGATAGGTACAAAATTGCAGCCAAACAGGGGCACTGTTGCTTCATTCAATAAAATTCATTTATGGAAATCAAGCACTTACATTACTTCATTGGAAATGAATAGAAAAGAGGGAATAATCGGTCCGACTTCGACCTACTACCCAACTGTCAACAGTGCTTATTGAATTGCCTAGTCTTTGTGAGCATAATTTCATTTCCATGTCGAAACATAAAGAAGAAAACAAAAATAATTAATAGTGCCATTTCTTAATACAGAATTTAAGAGTTTAAGCCGACAATTGGAGAATATTGCAATGACGTGGCACTCTTGTGTTCTTAAAGCATCGTTTGTCCGTCTGTCTGCGTTTTTTAGAATCATGGTTGGACGGGTGGAGTAAACGGTAAAACCTCTTCTGATCATTAATTAAACAAAAAGTTTAGGATCTCTAATTTGGGAATTTTCATGGTTCTCAAATATGTGTAATTGGTTTATATGTATTTTTATTGTTTTTAATTTTTTTTTTCTTTCTCTTATAAGATGACGTCAGGGTTAGGAAGGTAGAATTTTTATGAATTGTCAAACATTACTCTTAGAGTGTGTTTGATTGGACGAACTAGATAAGGAGGGATTAGAATCTATCGGACTTGAATCCTGGAACTGTGAATCCCCCGGACTATTTAGTTGGATTGGATATGTATCATGTGTTTGTTTTTTTCATACGATTAGATGTTTGGAAATGACTATTTTTAGTGAATCCAACGTTTAGTTAGACGGACTGGTTAGAATAAATGAACAAAAGATTATTTTACTTTTTTTTAATTATTTACAAAGTAATAGCAATATTAAACATATCTTTAATATTTTAATTATTTTTAGCTAGATTAAATAAAAATTTATTTTATTTTATTTTTTACACAATTAAATAAATTTATTTTTTTAAATAAAATAAATAAAATATCAATAAAAATATATGTTATTTTTTTAATTAAAATTTTAAATAAATTTATTTTTAAAAATAATAATAATTAAACAATGAAATTAAATAAAACATCTATTAACATTTAAATAATGAAATTAAATAAAATATACACAAAATTTTAAAATAAAATATCAATAAAATATCTATAAAAAATTATTTAAAAAAATTAACTAAATAAAACATCAATAAAAAGTTAAATAAAATTATTTTATTTTTAAATTGAGACATTTAAATTTTATTGAATTTTACTAAATATAATACATAATTAAATAGTAGAGGGTCGAAATGGTCATTTTACCATCTAATTCCAACAGTAAATTGTCTCTCCAAAACTATCCCACACTCTCCTGGAATAGTATAATCCCTCATATGGGGGATAAGGAGTCCCACTGGACTTCATGTCCGACGGACTAAAAAAAATAAACGATGAACGACTCCCTCATTCGAATAAGCAATCTAATTAGTGAATAATCCTTCTCTAATTCCTCAATGGAAAATGTCTCGTAGCTCAAATTTTGTGGCTCAAAAGTGGCTCAAATGGCCAAAACGACGTCATTTTGGCCATTTTTATGTTGTTCTGTACTCAAAACGACGTCGTTTTGGCCATTGAAGTCACTTTTAAGTCACAAAATTTGAGCTACGTAGCATTGTCGTTCCTCAATTAAACACACCCTTAATTTAATAGAGGTGGGATGATAATGAGGAGGAATACCTACGTAATATTATATTAATTATAATTAGTACGTAGGGTAGAGACATACATGGGATGGGATGGTATGGGATAAGAGGGCAGCTGGGAGAAAGAGTGAGAGACGGAGCGATAAAGGATAATGATGGTGTGAAGAACGATGATGATGGCGATGGTGATGATGATTATGATGAGTAATAGTGTGGGTGTGGGTGTGGGTGTTGGAGGTAGGGGTTGATTGGCTTCTAAGACAAGGCTAATCAATTAAAGAAAGCAAACTACTACTAGCTAGGCCACTCACAAATGATCTTTTTTTTTTTTTTTTCTTTTTTATCTTCCCATTCGTTGATTTTTTGGGGGGCTCGTAATTATTAGCATGCTCTCTCTCTCTCCTTTCCTTCCTTCACCCACTAGCCTAGAGAAAAGTGGTGGTTAGGTGAAGCAGGCAGTCAGTCAGTAAGGGCACTAACTAAACTAATAAGCACGACACCAGCACACCAGCACTCAGCACATACGGAAAACATCTACGCATCCTAAAATACCACCCTCCCACCCCACCTCACCCATGCGCCATTTCCCGACCAGAGCAAGAAAAAGAAAAGAGCCTGACTATTCTTTGTTCTTGTTCAAGTGGGGAAGGAAGTGTGAGAGAGAGAGACAGAGAGAGTTTGACTTTTTCGTACAAAGGAAAGGAAAGGAAACGAAAGGACTCGTGTTTGTCCCCTCAATTACTAATTTGCTTTTTGCAGCGGGCGGAGAGCAGATCCTCATATCTCATATCATATCATAGCCCTCGGACATGGCAGCCATACGGCTGCTCTGCTTTCTGGTGGTATGCTGTGGTGCAGGGATTCAAGTGATCTCCTCTGTTACGGACGCTCGCGATGGTTAGTTATTAAGCTGGCTCTCTCTCTCTCTCTCTCTGTATTCTCTCTAGTCTCTAGTCTGTGCTTTGTCCATGGACCATGCATGCATTCATATGTTACACACGCATTGATCGTTTTGAGAGATTGCATTGCACGCTTTCAAATTGCACACTCAATTTGAATTTCTAATTTTCTTCGGAATTAGTGCGACAACTTTAGTTAGTTTACCATTTTTATTTTATTTTTTTGCTTGGTAATCCTTAGAAATTAAATTGCTTCGTAGATGAAGAACGAGTTTCAAGGCTTCATGACTAGCAAATGGTCATTGTCTAAACAGTTAAGAAGTGCTAAAATTGGGGGTTAAGTTGAATTGGTGCTTATACACACTGAAAATTTTATCTGAATGTTAAAGATTTTAGAGGGCAGAATAGGTTTTTTTTTTTTAATTTTTTTTTTATGAAGGTGTGCATGCTGGTAGACAATTAACCTGAGCTGCTGGCTTTACCAAATCAGAATTTGGATTTCTTATCTTCTCTGCAAACATGGCATCACGCGTTCAAGATTCTTAACACTTGCTCAGTTTCTACTATATATATATGACTCCAATCTATTGTCATTCTGCAAAAATGAAGTGCCTTGGAGATTACTGTTATTTAATTGACTACCATTTCATTAGATGATCGTTTTGGTCATTGATCATCATTGGTGCCATAACTTAAACAGAGGTGCTAATGCACAATTCTGGGAGTTCTGCTCTAATACCTCCAGGTTTAAATTATTGCCTCTTTCATTTCCATGTTATTATTGAATTGTTTATTATTTGTTTTTCTTGTAACTGTCTATTCCTTTCAAAACAAGGAAACTTCATTATAGTTGCAGTTATAGCTCACTTAGATCTTCTGATAACTTCCCTATTTTTAAACAGTCCAAAACCCCAGCAAAGCGAATCAAGGTGTAGTTGTTGGCAAAACTTCAAGCTTCAAAACTGTGCTAGTAGCATATAATAGTATTGGCTTTCAAACCCAAAAAGGCACTCTTCCTTGCACTACTTCTGTTCACTTTATTATTTTATTATTTTTTTACAATCTAACCCTAAATGATTCCCAAACTATTGAAACCCAATTTAATATCAGAGTAGACAGCCATATTTCTCACTTATGTGTGAAAATGTGAATAGCATTCTATTTGCTAATACAGGGAAATTCACACCCCTGGGTGGAGAATGGGTTTCAGGCCAGCAAAAGAGAGCTCTAAGTGTTAGGACTGCCTTTATATTATGATTTCCAATGTATATTCAGGATGCAGCCAAATGTCCTTTTATAGAATAATAAAATAAGTTTTGACAAACCTAAAAATGGTGGTGGTGCAGCTGCTGCACTCAGATCTTTAAAGGACCAGTGGCAAAACACACCACCAAGCTGGGGAAAGTCAGGTGATCCTTGTGCAGCACCCTGGGAAGGGGTCACCTGCAACAACTCAAGGGTGACTGCATTGTGAGTATTAATTTTCCTATCATTTCACCTCATCACAAAGTATTCATCTGCTATTTCAGCTCATAGTGATTAGATAGTCATGTTCTTTAACCTTTTATACCCATTCCCACAACCATTTGATGCAAAGCCATCTCATCATCATATGCATTATGATTGCAGGGGATTATCAAGTATGGGACTCATAGGTAAACTAAGTGGTGACATTGGGGGCCTCACTGAACTGAGATCGTTGTGAGTTTTCTTACTTGCTTAAAATAGATGAAAAGACTAGTACGCTAGTTTGTAGTAAATTATCCCAGTACAATATGCAACAGTTTTGATATAGACACGCATGACCTAGCACCTCCCGCAGAATAGTGCAAAAGATTCAGAACACGGTCAAAACCTGATTGGCCATTCCCTCGTTACCATTCTTGCTTTTAATTAAGTAGCATTGTTCATTTATCTTAAGTTAGACACTATTTTATTGCAGGGATCTGTCATTCAACCAACGACTCACAGGCTCCCTCTCTTCTCAGTTAGGTGATCTGCAAAAGCTGAACATATTGTAAGATTCAATAAACTGCTACTTTGATACTTCCTTCCCATCCAGTTTGAACTGGAAATTTTGTTTTATTTCTATATATTTTGTTCAATCTATTTAAGTTATGCCTATGTAAGTAATTCTTTGTTTATGTCTTCCAGAATCCTGGCTGGATGCGGTTTCAGCGGTAATATCCCAAATGAATTGGGCAATCTTGTAGAGCTATCCTTTTTGTAAGACCTGCCAATTCATACGCTTCTTCTTGACAAGAAATTATAGGAACGTTATTCTTTACTTAATTCATTACGACTTGCCTCTGCAGGGCTCTAAATTCAAACAACTTCACTGGTCAAATACCTGCTTCTTTGGGCTCTCTCTCCAAGCTCTACTGGCTGGATCTGGCAGACAATCAGTTGACAGGATCCCTCCCTATTTCAAAATCCACCACTCCAGGCTTGGATTTACTCAAAAAGGCAAAGCACTTGTGAGTATATTTAGGTTTTGTCAACCCATATTCCTCACACTACTTTTATATTTCATAAACTATGGCCTGGTTTTTATGAACTTGCAGCCATTTCAATAAAAACAAGCTTTCAGGCCCAATTCCAGCCAAACTTTTCAGCTCAGATATGGTACTGATACACGTGTAAGTTAATAAACACCCTCTAGTTCTTTTGTCCTGAATATCCTACCCCTGATTGCTGTTCTACTGCAATGACAGACTGTTTGACGGAAATCAACTAACAGGAAAAATTCCAGACACATTAGGACTTGTTCAGACTCTTGAGGTTCTGTGAGTAGACTCTTCCATCTATCGCTACCTCAACCTTTTGTATTGTTCCACATTTTGTTTTAAATAATTATCTTTCTTTCTGATTTTGGTTGGCATGTACTATCCAACTTCCAATAGTCGGCTAGACAGAAACACCCTGACTGGGAATGTTCCATCAAACCTCAACAACCTCACAAATGTCGTTGAATTGTGGGTATTACGTTTAAATCAAATGCAATGTTAGTGGTCACATGTAAAGTTAATGAGTGATTGACCAAAACGTCCTCCCTAATGATCCAATGTTCTATTGTAGGAATTTAGCGCACAATGACCTGTCTGGCCCATTACCAAACTTGTCGGGAATGATCTCCCTTAATTATGTGTAAGAAACTAGCAGCAGAATCGCTGCAATCCAACTCTTCTATTGACAAGTTGTATCTTTGCTAGAGTGATAAAACTTGTGCTATGGTTTTTTCTCACAGGGACTTGAGCAACAACTCCTTTCAACGCTCAGAAGCTCCCACTTGGTTCTCAACTTTACAATCACTCACAACTCTGTAAGTTTTCAGTAATTTGCTAAGAAAATATGAAAACTATATTGAACTAGCAATTCCTAATATGGAAGTTCTGTTGTGGTGCTCAGAGTCATAGAATATGGTTCACTTCAAGGGCTTCTGCCACAAAAACTTTTCAGTTCGCCACAGATACAACAAGTGTAGGTTCTTATTTCCCCTTTTGGGTATCAATTTAAATTCAATTATCAGCATAAAAGACCATGAAAAGCTAGTAATATAGGTTTTTCCTTATGAAAAATAAAAAGAAAAAAATTAGTAGGAAGAAGAAGAAGCAACGTATAAATGATTTAATTCTTACAGGAAATTGAGAAACAATGCATTCAATGACACATTGAACATGGGTAATAGCATCAGCCAGCAATTGCAGCTTGTTGATTTGCAGAACAATCAGATATCCACTGTAACACTGGGTTCTGGATATACAAACACATTGATGTGAGATTTCATGGCTCCTAATTCCTGACAGTCTATGTTAATGATATTGTACATTTAACCCTGACCATCATTTATATATGTGAACTCATCCATTTCAGACTTATTGGAAACCCCGTGTGCACCACTGCTCTGGCAAATACAGCTTTCTGTCAGCTTCAACAACAAACCACAAAACCTTATTCTACTAGTGTGGCTAATTGTGGAAGCAAATCTTGTTCACCCGACCAGAAGCTCAACCCTCAGAGCTGTGACTGTGCTTTTCCATATGAAGGGACATTGTATTTCAGAGGACCTTCCTTCAGGGAGTTGTCTAATGTCAATATGTTCCATTCTCTAGAAATGAGCCTGTGGACGAAATTGGGCCTCACTCCTGGTTCAGTTTCTTTGCAGAACCCCTTCTTCAATATTGATGATTATCTTCAGGTGCAGTTGGACCTTTTCCCATCCACTCAAAAATATTTTAATAGGTCAGAGATTGTGAGGCTTGGGTTTTATTTGAGTAATCAAACTTACAAGCCTCCTCCAGATTTTGGACCCTACTATTTTATAGCATCTCCTTATTTTTTTCCAGGTAAATTGAATTACTGTCTGTTTCACAGATCATTAATGAAAGAACAAATTGGTTACTAAAAAAAATATGAAAATGTGTCAGATGAACATGGGGGAACTTCTATTAGCTCAGGCACAATTATTGGGATAGCAATTGGTTGTGGCTTTTTGGTCCTTTTGCTTGTTGGGCTGGGGGCATATGCCGTTCGGCAAAAGAAACGTGCTGAAAAAGCAATTGGATTAAGTAAACCATTTGGTAATTTTCACAATTAAACCCAAAAAGTATAAATTTTTGCATTTGGTACCTATTTTCAAGAAGGCAACTGTAGGAATTTTTTTTGGCTCATTTCCTTCTCTTATCTGTTCCAGCATCCTGGGCTCCAAGTGGCAAAGACAGTGGTGGTGCCCCGCAATTAAAGGGAGCTAGATGGTTCTCTTATGATGAACTCAAGAAGTGCACCAATAATTTCTCTGATGGTAATGAGATTGGGTCCGGAGGCTATGGCAAGGTAAATAGGCAAAGTCCATGGTTGATACATAGGAATCTTGCTAAAGTTACCACTTATTTCTTTCCTCTTTTCTTTAGGTCTATAGAGGGATGCTCACTGGAGGGCAGGTAGTAGCAATCAAAAGAGCACAGCAAGGTTCTATGCAAGGTGGGCTCGAGTTCAAAACTGAAATTGAGCTGCTTTCGCGAGTTCATCACAAGAACCTTGTTGGCCTTGTTGGGTTCTGTTTTGAACAAGGAGAACAAATGTTGGTGTACGAGTTTATGCCCAATGGGACACTTAGGGAGAGCCTGTCCGGTAAGACCACTTCCATATCAAATGTTTGATGATGTTGAATTGAAGCTGCAAAAGCATTTAATGAGTTTAATTAGTTCATGAGAAATAAGCATAATTATGGAAAAACAGTGATGCAAAATGTGCAGAATTATGTGGTTAATTGACAACAGTTCATTGTTGAAGAGTAGAAATGATTGATGACCTCCATGAGATTAATGAACATTACAATAATATCAGCCTTTCACAAAACCCTAGAGAAATATATCCAAGCCAAAACCATATATATAATAAAAATAAACGAAGATAATAGAAAAAAAACACTCACTTTCTGTTTAAGATTGAAAATAAAATTCCAAATAAAATTCCGTACATGACAAGGAATACAAATACAACACTTATTTTTCTCCCATAAGCAAGGAACAAAGTTTCATTTAATTTCCATCAAGAGTGTTGAAACATTCCCTTTCATGGGAAACCAACCCAAAATACATTGGGAGAAATAAGGCTTTGTGAATGTATGTAAACGCAAGGGTTTACATGGTTCACCATAAAAAGGCTTTGTGAACAGGCAGAGATGAAGAGAAAAAAAGAAAAAAATCATTAGATTAACTGAACACACAAAAAAAATGGATTTTCTCAATCCATAACCATAGACAAAATTTGAACTGTCATGTTCCATTAACGGGAATCCCCAACCATACTCCATGTAGGACAAGGATCCCAACATCATAAACTCTTCAAACTCAAAAGACCCCAAAAATGAATTTCCTACAAAATTAAGTTTTCCATAAACTCCAAGAAATATATACATAAATACTTGTCCAAAATTTGAAGTGAGATAGCCTAAGCACATAGATTACTCTTTTTTAACCCCACCTGGAAATTATTATGCATATTATGTGTTGCAGGGAGATCAGGCATTCATGTGGATTGGAAAAGGAGACTTCGCATTGCTATTGGTTCAGCAAGAGGATTAGCTTATCTTCATGAGCTTGCTGACCCCCCGATAATACATAGGGATGTCAAATCTACCAACATTCTGTTGGATGAAAATCTAACAGCAAAGGTTGCTGATTTTGGATTGTCTAAGCTAGTTTCAGACAGTGAAAAAGGACACGTTTCAACTCAAGTTAAAGGCACATTGGTGAGCATTACTTCGCCCTCAAACTCTCTCATTTTCTAACAATAGTCATAGATTTCCAGCTTTTGGCTTTTCTTGTAAGTGAATAATCAAAATCATAATCTGCATAACAAAATCTCAATTGGCATTTCTCCTGAATCCTTTCTAGTGTGTCATGCTTTCAAGAGCAAAGATTAAAAGATTGTTGCTTAAAAAATTTAAAATTTCTGCACTGGTTTTGGTTTTAGCTTGGATTTGTTAACTAATTGACTCTGTTCCAGTGACTCAAGTTGGGCACGTTCACTATGGCTTTTACATGGCTTGCTTAGCCTTAACAATCATCACTAAACCTGCATTGATGTGCACCTATGAAGCACGGGTACAGGTACAAGTACTAATACTGGTATGATACGGGTATGCCGATACAATAAAATTCAAACAAAAAAAATAGGGAACGGGTACGGCTTGGTACGGTTGTAAAAAAAATATTTATTTTTAATTTAAAGTAATGCAAAAATTAATTAAATGGTTTAATTTGTTAAGGTCCAACCTACAATTAACATTTAATGCCAAAAGTAAATATATAAATTAAAATTAAATGTCAGTATATTAAATAACTTACAAATCATAATTTAATTTTAAAATCATGCTAAGTATAGAAAATAAATAAAAAAGAAGTGAAAGGAGTTCTGTCTCTGTAGTAGAAGAAAATATTGTTTCAATTGAAGTATGGTATGGCTTGGGTATATACTAAGTATGTCTACGTATGCTAAAAATTAAGAAGAAAAAATTTGGGTACGTATTTTGTGTACCTGATACGTATGCAGAAGTACCATACGAGATACCATACACCGGTAAGTACCCGGTACGGATACAACATGTTTTTCGAAGTACCCATACTTCATAGATGTGCACCATCCCCAGCTTATGCATGTGCATGGGCACTCTAATCAGACAAGTATAGGCTCATGTGGCTTATCTCATCACTGGATGTCTTGTTATCGCTACATGCTCCATTTCAATTAAATCTGATAGATTTGCTAGCAATGGAAGGACATTTTGAGAAAGTTTATCGCAATTCTTTTTCTACCCCAGCAAGTCCTGCATTCATGTCTAAAGATGAAGCCATCTTTCATAATCTTTAATGAAAATCAAATAAATAGATTTAAACAAAGTATGCAGACACAAGTTGGAGTCCAAAGACCAATTGAATATATAGAAGACTAATGCTATACAAACAAAAAAATTCGTACATAATGATGTAGCTTATTGTGAACCTTTCACTTCAAAACAAAACACCATTCAATGTGTTTGGTTTTAGTTTTCTGGATTAAGTTTTTTAAAAATTAAGTTTTTGTTTTTCGTGTTTTTTTGTTTTTAGTGAATATTTTTAAAATTTTAAACATTTTTTTAGTTTTTTAGATGCACCTTACTTATATGTATCTAAAAAGTAAAAAATTTGTGAAAAAATATTTTAAAAAATTAATAAATACATAAAAATACAAAAAAAGTACTGAATTCTTGTATTCTTTTTGTGTTTTTGGTATTTAGTGAATTTTTAAAAGTTTTTTTTATAATTTTTTTACTTTTTAGGTGTATTTATGTTAAGTGTGCCTAAAAAGTAAAAAAATTGCTTAAAATATTAAAAAAATTTAGTAAAAACAAAAAAATACAAAAAATAAGAAAGTAAAATTTTCTGAAAAAAAAATAAGAAGGTAGAATTTTTTGAAAACTGTTTTCAGAAAAACGAAACCAAACAAGCTGATTGAGTTTATTTACAATAATGGCATTGCCACGTCATTATTGTGAAGTTTTTTCTATGAATTTTATGTATGAATAGAGTTTTCCTATATGGAATATGGTTATTTGTGTCAAGGACATTCTATTACATACAAACAATGCCTTTTGTCAATGTGGCTTTTGTAAACATATTTTGCCAATGAAGTGGAAATTACCATTTGCTTGTGTATATATTCCTTCTATGTAAATCCTTGTCTGTGCATATGCAACATAAACACATATGCAAGTAATTTCTTGGTTAAGATTATCTTTTTTAATTTGGGATATTTCACAAATATCCTTAATCAAGATTGGTAGAAAGTAGGAGATTTCTTTCTTGCTCTTCTTATTTTAATGTTAAGTTTCCAATGTCAGTGTCATAAGCCTTCCATTTTGTCTAACCACGTCTGCTCTAGTAAGAAAGTTTACCTTTGAATTTTGAACTGCTTCGTGAGTTAATGCTTTAACAATGTCATTTTGATTACAGGGTTACTTAGATCCTGAATATTACATGACTCAACAATTGACTGAGAAGAGTGACGTATATAGCTTTGGTGTGGTGATGCTTGAACTGATAACAGCTAAGCAACCAATTGAGAAGGGAAAGTATATTGTCCGTGAGGTAAGAATGGCAATGGATAAGAATGATGAAGAACACTATGGCTTGAGGGTGCTAATAGACCCAGCCATAAGAAACATGACAAATCTTATAGGGTTTGGGAGGTTCTTGGAGTTGGCAATGCAGTGTGTAGAAGAATCAGCTGCCGATCGTCCAACAATGAGTGAAATAGTAAAGGCACTAGAAACCATCCTACAAAATGATGGGCTACATACCAACTCAACATCTGCATCCTCATCTGCCACCGACTTTGGATCTACAAAAGGTGCTCCTAGACACCCTTACAATGATGCTCTGCCAAAAAGGGATGTCAATGATAGTGATGCATTTGACTACAGTGGTGGATACACACTTTCAGCAAAAGTGGAACCTAAGTAGTTGATGATTTATAGTCTTTTTTATTTACTTTTTTCTCTTTTTAAAATTGGTTTATTCATGAATAACCTTTTTTTTACTGTTGCCAATTAAAAAACTTATTAGTAAAACACATGAAAATGTTATGCCTCTATTACGTTTACACGTTTCATTCCAACTAAATGTATAACTATGTGGAGTATGTTTGTACTACTAGAGTATGTTTGTACTTCAATTCTATTCATAGATGACAAAGATGTCTATGAGATACAGATAATGCAGCAGGTAAAAGGATTCAAATCATACCTTGTTTGATAGAATCCGAAATAAAGGACCCTGTGGGTAAATCACATGCTTCACCACCACGAACTAAGAACACCCAGCAATGGAGTAATACCACAGTATGAGTATCACGCACACTAGTCACAGTGTAAATGCTTGATCATTAAAACAAATTGGAGAAAGTTAGAGAGAGAGAGTTATGGGAAAATCATACGTTATTAGATTCATCCCACATCCCATGTACCGTATCAGATATATAGGCTGACTATCTAATTATCTATCCATATCTCTTGATAAGATATGATAAATATAGATATTGATAGTGGGCTATCCAAATAGGATAGTTATTAAATTCAAATTCAAATTAAGATAGGTAATCTGAATGGGTTATAGGTCATGTCACATGGGCGCCTAAATTTGAGTCTAATACCCAGCCCAATTTCCAACATCTCCCACTCGCACATGAGTTGACATGACACTGCCACATCTCTATCTCAATCTTCCCAAATATTGAACAATCTCATACTAGCCAATGAACCGTGCGACCATTGAGAACACCTAGATGTGGGAACTCTATACTAGAACTCAATATGAGCCAGCATAGAAACATCAACCCAAAAAGAATAGAAATAGTGTCTCATGTACCCAGACCCATCTGGTTACATCGGTCCAGAATATCTCTAATCCCTCAAAGAGCATGTTTGACCCTCCTAGGTTCCGCATTATCTACACACCTAATCAGCATCTCATACAGAGCGATGTGAGTTGTCGATAGTGAATATAGAGCAGAGATATAAAACTAGATGATCTTCCCTTCATCCTCATAACATTTAACTCGGAATTAACCGCTTTCCCAGTAATGTCCCTTAAAGCCGAATCATACATGACCGCAGGCAACATACCAAAGTAGTCGATTATCAACTCCTCATCTTATGACACAGTCAAAGGTCACAAAAGGCACAAAGTGAAGTCATTGAAAAAAATGACTTTTAGAACTCACACGGTGAGGAAGCAAAGGACCATTCTCTCACATCGCTAATGGGTCGATAAGCACATGCAGTACGAATGCATGCTATAGAGGAGTAACTCTTCTAAAGAGTGATGTTAAACTCACACTATACAGATCTTAGTCTAGTCGCTCTTAAGTACACAAGTCGTTTCCTAACGTCTAACTCGAATTCTCTATTTGCTCACCTCTCAGGCATCAAATGAGATCTCGCATCTTGCTATGCATAACAGACACATCATGGAAAAGTGAGTACTCTTATATCCATGGTCGGTTTTTGACAAGACCTCTTTTTGGCTTCAATCAAGGTGACATAGCTAGTAGATAATTTTAGCCTCTCTCTTAGCTCCAAATATAATAAGCCACTAGTCTCATCCTTACTCGCTACCTAGCGCTAAAGACAATTGCTCGTGTGAGTGAACCAATCTTACCTACTAACATCAAATTTATTTATTTTGTGTACGCTAATTCACAAACCATGGTAAAAAGTAGTAAACATAAATGTGTAATAGAAAAAAATATGAATACTAATGGCATAAATATCCCCCAAAAAAATAAGAGTTCAACTGAATACATATATATCACCACCTACGTAGTTCTAACATGAGTAAGATAAACATCTCTAGCAATGGGCTTAGTCAAAGGGTCCGTAACCATGTGACTTGTGGGGATGTGCTCCATCATCACGTCTTTCTGCGCTACAATGTCTCTAATAAAGTTGAACCTCACATCAATGTGTTTGGTTTTCCCATGGTACTTAGGATCCTTAGCGTAAGCAAGTGCAGCCATGCTGTCACAATGGATAGTCACCGGATTTGAAGTGTGTGTGACAATATCCAAATGTTGAAGGAATCTCCTCAACCAAACGGCTTCCTAAACGGCAGATGAACAAGCCACAAACTCAGCCTCCATAGTCGATAAAACGATACAGGATTGCTTCTTACTGCTCTAAGAAATAGCACCATCACTAAACTGTAACAACCCCAACCCACGATTAACACTAATCCATGCTTAATTATGCCTGATAAGTGATTAAAGTGAATTTTTGCCTCATCTGTTGCCTTATTTGAGTTTATATCTGTTTAACGTAGAATGATCTGTCTATGTTTGCGTTCTGTTCTGTAAATTGAAAGCCTTATCAGCATCCGATCATGAAATTGACTCAAGTTATGTGTTGGAATTTTTAGAATATTATGGTCAGTTTAATTAAAATTCGATTCGGAACGAATTGATTAGAATTAAGTAATGCCAAATTGATTAACTTAAGCCAAGTTTAATTAGAGCTCCTTAATCAAGCCTATATAAGGCATATGAGACCTCTAGGCTTTATTTTACACACTCACTTCCTCATCTTTGGAGTCTTCAAACGTGTGAGAAAGGGAGAGCAAGGGAGAGACTTGAGATCAAGTAGGGAAATGAGTAATTACAAGAAAATTGTGGAGAAATTAGAGGAACCAAGCTAGGCTTGCTAAAATTCAAAGGAATTGCCCATTTTAGGTAAGAATTCAGCTCTAGACTTGTGACATTGAGTTAGTAACATGTGAATTCCATAGAATTGTAGGATTACATACAAGAATCAAACCCAAATAATGGAATTGGGCATGATTCATGCATGCATGTGCATTTCATTACATTTGGAGTATGTCTTCCTAAGAAATTCTCTCATGCATGTACTAAATTAAGCTTAGTTGTGGGAATTCATCATGTTTTACATCCTCTTATCTCATTTGATCATGTTTTGAAGAGTTTGAATCCAAGTCAATACATGCATGGTATATATTGTTATGTTTTCAAAATTCAAAAGTTGAATTTAAACCAAATGACGATGCTTTTGGACTTAATTTTGTGAAATGATTTAGAATTCTCAATGTTTTCCAAGTTCACAGATGATTCCTTAGGTTTTTGGCCCAAATGGATGGGTTTTGTAGTTTTGAAGTTGAGTTTTGGACTTGAGAGTGCAATCTAGAAATTCTAGAAATTTCACCCTCCGCTCGAGCAATAGAACCTGCGCTCGAGCGACCATTTTGTGTCTTGCACCTCCCTTCGAGTGACCAAAGGGCCGCTCGAGCATAAATGCATGCTCCTAGAAGTTTGCGTGTTTTGCAGACCGCTCGAGCGACAATAGTTGCGGTCGAGCGAGGGCATGAGTCTTACGCTCGAGCGAGTGTCGGGCAAGCATCGAGCGGAGAAATTTAACAACCAGTACTTTGTAGATCGCTCGAGCGACCACTCACATTTTGCATGTCCGCTCAAGTGAAGGAAGTTACACTTGAGCGGGGACCCCTGTTTTCAGCATTTTGACTAAATGTTTTCAAATGCATTTTTACATCCTCATTCCATCATAAACATTCCTAGGCCAAGATTAAGACACCATAAAGAGGATAAGAAGTAGAAACACGCTAAGATAAGAAAGAATTAAGTTAATGTTTCTGGGTGTGTAATTCAGTACGTGTTCACTTTGTAACAGTGTAGGTCACACGCTGCAAGACGTCTGACTTGCCATTCCGTCTGTTTGCCTTGAAGCCATCTGTTAATTGTGAGTAATAACTTTGTAAGGCTATGTTCCATTATAAGTATTTTCTGAATGATATAAGATGATCTGTGTAGACTTGACTTTCTTCGCGCCCCCGGAGAGCATCGAATTGGTCCTACAGTTCGGACTCCTGTCACGGTTCTGAATCTAGTCTCACAAGTGCAATGTGAAACTAATAATCACCAAAGAGTCCAATCTGGCAAATCATTTTGGAAAATCGATTTTGAATCAAATAATGCCAAAACTGGACTGCTTTGCCAGATTACAGAGTCGCCACCTAAATATTTTGCTTTTGGGAAATTTAGGAAACCCTGACTCATGCCAAAGGCCACGTGTCCGTCATCACCAAAGTTGCCTCGACTCGGGAACTTGGGTACGAGAGGGAAGGTCCTGAAATGAGCATCCCCACTCGCCCGATCAAAAATCGGCCTCTACTAATCATGATATGTTGTTTTATAAACACATGTGTTCTTATTCCGGTTATTAGCTAACTTTACTATGTGACGCACACACAGTCAAATATAGACTAAGTCCCAAGACTTGGAACAAATCAACTCATGTTTGTTTTCGAAAATGATTTGAATTTGCCACCCTCAAATGGGCTAAAACGCGGATTTGTCACCCTCAGGTGGGCTTAAAACATACAATCATCGAATTGTTCCAATTCAAACATCAAAGCCTCCATTTACAGGCATTCATGCAGTTTATCATTTAAGCAAATAGCCTCATGGCAAGTATGCTATCATGGCAATACTCACACTCATGCAAGTATGCTAAAGTGTAAAACTTACCGAGTACTCCAAGCCAAAACAAAAGCTAGTTAGAAAGAATGCATGATCCTAACTATGCAAGATGCCTAATGCAACACATGTAATAATGCAATTAATAGGCTCGGCTATCTAAGATGGCTTTTGAATGCAACAATTTGATAACATGCTTTGAAACACGTGTTCAAATAAGTATTGAAATACAATGCAGTTTGAATGATGCGCCGAGGCTCGGTGCATGCAAGACAAATGAATGATACAAAAATGCAAGCATAAGGTATGTTTATTGAAAAATGACCTTAAACTAACCATCGAAAGTGGTTAAGTAAAAGGGAGAAAGACGCAGGGTTGGAAGAAATGCACACATGCACACACACTTATTACAACATTATGCCCTCTCGAAGGAGGGCCGAATGAACAAGCTAAGCTACAGTAAGCTAAGCTAAGCTAACTAATCTAATTAAACTAATTAGACTAATTATTACAAACCAAACGAATAACTAGTAAACTAATTACTAATTATTACAACACTTTAACTAATTAGCAAACTAGTTAAGCAAATGTATACTAACTAATTATGCAAGATATTAGACAAATGAATGATGCAAAAATGCAAGCATAAGGT